GAAAGGTTGGGCATGAGGCTAGCAACCCTATCCTGTAAAAATTAAACACTGCTACAGAAACTTCAAGCTACTATCTTGAAGCCCTATGTTCCACTGGGAACGTGAAGGAAGAAAAAAATAATGTACAAGTCAGCGAAATTATCAATGAAAATTCAATGAAACAGCGTTTCTTGATATAAGTATAAAACTTGGGCACTGTGGTGGTAGAGTATAACTCCAGTATGGATAAAATTTTATTTTGATAAAATCAGACAGTGTGTTTTCCAGTAATATTTACTGATGACCACGTTTCGAGCACAATTAACCACTACTCATAATCATATCACTACACTACTCACACAACTTTCTTGTTTCGTCTATATACGTGAGCGAAAATTCATTAGACATATGAGAAAAATCAATATAAGAATTGCGTGAAACAGGAAGGAACATAAAGTACATTCGGAAATAATAATATTAGTGTTATCAATAAAATACAATAGGATGGGAAATAAGACGAGTGTTATTAGTCAATAAGATATTTTTATAGTTAAATTAAATAACTTGTTAGAATGTTAGAATTTGAATTGAAATACATTTTAACATTATTTATTATCCTCCTCTAATTTGACTGCTAATAATATCCTCCATATCTCTGGTATTTGCGTTGAGTCACTTCTATTGCATGTGTTGGGTGTAGAGTCGATGAACCAGGTAGGATCCAGTAATCAATCTCTGTCTCCACCTACATGCCTATATATTTTAGAATTTTGATTCTGTTCCACCCTATTGTGTCATTGCGTCTGTGTTAATGCATGCAGTGCTATTGCTGAGTTTTTCCTGGGGTCATTCATTCTCCTCATATATTTACTGATAACACTACTAATGGTTCCGAATGTACTTTATCTTTCTTTCTGTTTCACACAAATCTTATATTGATTTTATTCAAATGTCTAATCAATTTTTACTCATGTATATAAATGAAGCAATAAAGTTGTGTGAGTAGTGTCATGATATGATTATGAGCAGTGATAAATTTTGCTCAAAACGTGCTCATCAATAAATATTACTGCATAACAAACACTGTGTGTGATTTTATCAAAATAAAATTTTATCCATAATGGAGACACAAAGTTTCATCTAGGTTAAGGTCAAATGTCTAGACGTCAGGTTATATTTATGACATTGATTAATAGTGTGCCTACTCTCTATCCTGAAATTTTGCATCAATTTGACACGAACACTGTAAAAGATCAACTGATACTCTCTGACTTAGTTTTTCGGACACCAAGTGAAACGACATTGACTGTACAGTTTAAATTGATTTGTGTACAAGACGTAAAATCTACTGAAATACAGAAATGTGTTATTAGCGTAACGGTAGAAGAGGGTAGACGTGGAAAAGAATGTTAGCTGGGGATTTGATATTTCTATATAGTGAAATTATGTATACCTTATTGTCAACGCACTATTTGAACAGATCTTCCGTGTTGTGACTGCTACTTCTCGCCTTCCTTCATATTGTGTTTCTTTCACGACTCCTATGTATCTGTTCCTAACGCTCTATCATTTGCTTTCTCTGACATCAAATCTATCTCCCTGCTATTCAACGTTTTTATGCCAATGAACATCTCTTTATACACATACTACTGATAAATCTTATTAGTAGCACATGCCGAATTTGAAATCTACGTCAAACTCTTACAGTAAAACTGAATAAGAAAACTTTCAAGGAATTGCAGATATCCGTATTCCCTTATCTTCTATAGTATTCAGACATTACAAAGAGTTGTCAGAGTATCTTCAGGATGATACTTCGTATTGTACATTTTTCTGGCAACGACACTGAATTTCACTAATAGTAATGATTTAAATTGGGGTACATTAAGTTATTTAAAGTTATTCATTATCACTGTCAACCATTCCTTCGGTTTCCAGTAGAACATAGAGCCTCTTGGACACATTTCCGTTCACCTTAGTTTTCTAACATCAATTTCAAAAGGTAGAGTTCCACAACTGCCGGAAAGCTTCCGTCTCCCCTGTCGTATAATCTTTTCCATGTCAACTTGGGATGTCGAATCCATCGTCCGGTTCCCATTCAGGTTCTAATCAATGTTCTGATGTGTGATGTCATTTGAAGGTCTGTCTCTTTGAAGTGTGTTCAACCCATCTTCATTTTCCTTCTGCATATTTCTTGGGCAATAGGTTTGTAGTGCACCGTGAACCTTTGAATTTTTGTTTTAACGCATTCACCCACTTTTGGCGCTACACCATCTTTTGCTTCTCGACATGACTGTATGACTGAGTCACCTATCAGTAAAAGTCATCAGTTGTCTTGGGATAAATTTAAGTAACTAAACCAGTGAAACTTTCTTCATAATTGTACCAAGAAGCGTGAAATCTCGCTCTAGAAATGAACCTCTTCCATCGTCACTGATTCCTGCAGATACCTAGTCAAAAAAACATGTTAATCACCTTTGTGAAGGAACAGCTAATCTCGTTGGGGAATCATCAAATGTTGGTAGCGCTGACAAACTGAGAGACTGAGTTTTACTGCAAAGCCTTTCAAAAAAAATTGCTGCGGATCAAGTTACCCAATCCCACATAGAACACAGCCAGTGGTCCAAGGAAAACGGTCTTACCATTAACCCCTCCAAATACCAAACAGTGAATTTCACCTTGAGGCATAAATCCGACCTATACAAACTGGTTGGCTTTCACGAGGTATGCAACATAGATGGCAATGAAATAGAAACCAAGTCGGAAATTAAGTACCTAGGCGTCATTCTATCTCCTGATCTCTCCTGGTCGTCTCATATCTTAGCGATTTCTAAGAAAATATTCCGTCTTACCTTCTACATCAATAAGTTAGAACATTCTGGTATAACGCAACCCTTACTCCTACAATTCGTTAACTCTCGCATTCTGCCTATTATTCTCCATTGTTCCCCCTTAGTTTTTCCCGGGCTACTGAAGAAAGACTATAACATATTACGCAGGATGTTAAAGGTTGTCAGCAGGGTGAGCAACGTGCTACTTAACCAGCTTGTTAATATTCTGGTTGACAGGCACATGGACTCATGTGAAAAATGGGCCAAATCCATTTTATCTAACTCACACCAACCTCTTCACTCACACCCTCCCCTTGCATCTCATAAGTCAAAACCAGAAGCCTTTATAGAAAACTATATGCTGGCACTACCAAGTACAAAAACTCAACCATACCCTACTTAGCTCATGTTCTGTGTGATAAAGGAAGCATTAGGCGTGACACCTATAATTCATTAAATAGTCAGTAGTACAACTGGACCTCGTCTCTCCAACTCATATCATTTATAGGTACAACATTTTCTTTCTTTCTTTTCCTATTCTATCTCTTTTTTCCCGTTTTGTGCTGCTTTGTTTCTTTCTCTAGCTTACGCCAGTAAATATGACAGCACCTACTTTTCTAACACCTTCAAACACTGTTCAGCTTTGGCTTTGCTACCGACATCCCAATATGTTGTTGTCATAATGAACTGAGATCTCCTTAATCTATGTAGAATTCTATTTATTGGTAATGTACTAACTGGATGCAATACTGTAGTAAAAATGCTGAGAATTCCATTCTGTATCACATGTACTGTTTTGGAATAAAGCAAATTATTATTATTACTATTATTAGGTAGAAAAGTGGAATTCAAAATAACTATGATAGACGCAAATATACATGAGAAAATATGAGAATTGAATGGATCTGAGAGATTAATAAGGAGGAATTTATCTGTGCCACTGAGAAGGATTTTGAGCCATATCGACTCACAGGGTCTCCATCTATTGGCTCTTAATACATGTGGCAGTCTACACCTCCCTACGTGGCTAAGATCAGCTATGAAAGACTTCATGGACGAAGGTCAGGTTTTAATTTGATCACTACTAATTCCTCTACAACCTAATCAGATGTTAGCTAAGATTGATCGTAGATGAAGGTGGTGGTTCGGCAGGCGCAGTTCTTGCCTCAGTCATTCCGGTCGATTTAGTTTCACATCCACATCGATTGACTTGCCCTCCTTGTCTAATACTATACGCTTAACTTCAGTATTACTCATCGTACTACACCACTTAAGAAGGTAAGGTAGAAAGCAAACATCTATGGTCAGAGACAGCTAGCCTACTAATGTCTTTCAGTTTCAATGGCCGTATTTCACAAACACATAAAGAAGGATGGAATGAGCTAGTGTGTAAGTCCTTTGATTTACATCGGAGAAAGCTTAAGCTGTTAAATTCCACATGTGACTTTTGTATTTGTACTCATACAACTTCCTAAATGAGTAAAATGTTCAGTATAATCAAGCAACTGACTCTATATCTCTAAACTGGGAGTTGATGCAGACAACTTCTGCGTCACCGTCTAACATTTGAAAGAGGCCGGCGAATTTTATGTCTTCATCCATTCCGCCTCTGCTGTGGTTGAAACCGCGCTTCCTAGATAGGTGAAGGAAGCAATCTCTTTTAAATTTTTCCCGTTGATGGTGACTGAGGTTAGTTATTGTTGTTGCTGTTGGTTAGTTGGTTATCCTCATTACCCCCTTCTTCTCTATGTTCATCTGGAGTTCTGTCTTTTTTGTCTGCCTTTTTTGCCAGAATGTTAGTTTCCACCTGCAAATCTTCGAGTTTGTGTGGCATTAGACATAAATCCTTGCGGGAATCCAGATCTTCCAGAGTCTTCTTATCGGTGACCTAGCGTATCCCTGTATTTTCGTCCCACTCTTATTTTTCAAGGCAGATAAGCATGCGATTTCTTTCCAACTGTATTACAAGCTTTAGTCTGATTTGTTTATCTTCTCTTCTATAGTTCAGAGTAGTTACTTGCTTATAAATAAAGAACGACCTCTGCTTTACTATTTCACTTATAAATTTGTTTTCTATTTTTGTTATCATTCCACATTCAACAGTGACAATCGGTCAAGCACAAAACAGAGTCACTAATTTTCCTGGCTTGAATAATGTCACTATTTAATCTGTCATCAATACTGTCATTTATGCCATTGTCATCCCTACGAAGTGATACAGCCTCATTGTCACGTAGTAAATCATCACCTGTACTTTGTTCATCGCCCCCAGCACCGTCATTACCATCATCGGTGGCACTAGCACGAGCAACAGTATCTGAATCCCCATCACCTTCATCCTCAGCATCATCGCTATCATCATCATCACCATCACCTGATTCATCGGTATCCCTATCGCACTATTATTCATTCTCGTCTTTGTCTTCATCATCATCATCGTCTTCTTCGTCTGTCTCCTCACGCTCCTCTCCCTCCTCCTCCTCCCCATCATCATCGGCAGCGGCGGCAGTGACGAAAAAATCCTCATCTGCCTCATCTTCAACATCCAAGTCGTCCTCGTCATCATCTTCGTCCTCATCAACATCATCATCGTCTTCCTCATCCTCCACCACGTCTTCCTCATCATCATCTTCGACATCATCTTCATCATCATCATCATCATCTTCGTCTTCCTCGTCTTCATCGGTATCATCGTCGTTATCATCAGCACTGAAAAGACGGAGTCGTCGAAAACACCATCAAGTTTACCATCATTGTTGTATAGTTCATCATCACTATCATCATCATTATTACTGGCTGATTTATCGACATCATCGTACGATTCACTTACTGCGGTTTCATCCACATCCACATTCACATCCCCATCCCCATCATCGTCATAATCATCATCATCGATTCAGTCGTTACTCATTACACCGATATCATTAGCCAAAATTATCAATGTCGCTAAATCACTTCACCTTCCTTCACTTTTGTAAACTCGTTAATGATAATAATAGTAATAATTCAAATCATATTTAACTGATTGAAAATGCTCATTAAAATTTTCAAAAGAAGGAACACGGAACAAAGAGTACTCTTTTCGATAACCCCTTCATCATCAGGTTCTACAATTATATATACATTATAATGAATGAATGAATGAATTAGTCTTATGAACGACATTAATGTTGCTGTTTAAATAACATCAAATCAATAATATTGATAGACTACAGCTGAACAGCATCAACATAAAATAAGTTGAATGTCAGAAGAATTATGAAAGGTAATAGTACAAATTCATGAGTTTATAGTCTCTACTGAGGGCCAGGGCAGTAGTAGAAGCTGGACTTGTTTCTTTTGAAAACAGAGCACTGGTTATTTTAGGTGAATTCCAATAGCCTCTGCTGTTTGGAGCATGTGGTGCTTCGATGATTTTGTTAGTTTGTTAGGCACCCGGTAGATGATAGAGAAGGATTCTTCCACGCTGGCTGGCTTTGTGACCGGTTTGCACCAGATGGTCTAATATCTAGCTGTTAATAGTTTTAAATACACCTTTACTTAACCATAGTGGGATATGTTCTCGAGCACGAAAAATCAAGTTCCTAGAGCAACGGCCAACATATCTGATTGTCGACTGAGTGAGTCCAGTGTAACGAGAGAACGCGGTAGCAGTTCAGTTGTAGACTTATTTATACTGACACACTGAAGTTAAGTATCTTGGTTTAATTCTCTCTGCTGACCTATCCTGGTCCTCCCATGTCTTAGCGATTTCTAAAAGAATATTTCGTCTGACTTTTTAAATTAAGAAGTTAAGGCATTCAGGCATAACCCAAACCCTCCTCTTACAGTTTATCAACTCGTGTATTTTACCTATTCTTCTTTACTCTTCACCCTTATTCTTTCCTGGATTGCTTCGTAGAACTCTGAAGACTGTCAGTAGGACGAGTGGTATCCCATTGGGCCATATCGTTGACATTGTCACTGATAGGCACTTGATGCTATGCAACAAATTTGGTAAATGAATTTTGTCAGACTGTGAGCACTCACTCTACCCACAGCTCCAACCTTGTGTCTCCTCCTCAGGTAAAACAAGAAGTCATTTCAGAAGACTTTATGCGCGCACATCTAAGGATAAAACTTCCACGATACCATATTTGGCGGCACGTATTTTATGTGATGAAAATAGTGTCAGGGATGAACTAACTAACCTTCTTTGCACTACTAAATAAACCTTTTCCTCCACCTTAACAACATCAGTCTTTATTGTTATTATACTTCTTATATTTATCATCCTCTCAATTTTTTGTTTTTATTTGCTTATTTTTTTATAAGTATGAACATAATTTAAGCTGTGTTTTGACTGTTAATTTTGTCTTTCACCTCACCATAGTGCTATATCAACAGAACATTAGATCCAATAATCTATAACATGCTAAAGTTTCCAAACTGAATCGCAAATACTGTTTGAAACAAACTCACTGTTATTATTATTATTATATTTAATATTCTCAATTCTTGCTTCGAATATTTTTGACTTTATTTCGTAAATGTGGACAAATTCCTCTGGTTAATTTTATTTATATTTTGAGCAAATTAGATGCAATATTGTGACAAATGCTGAGAATTCCATTCTGTATTATAAGTACTGTTTTTGGAATAAAGTAGATTATTATTATTATTATTACAGGAGGCAAACACACTGAAATCCCCATTTTGCGCATATTCCTCGTTTCTTTTGCTTCTTTTACCTTCCTTTCATGCCTTCTATATTGATTAGTGATTCAATATTCTCTCAGAAAACATCACACCGACACACACACGCTTTATACTACTCACAAAATATTATCAGTAGCAAAATACCACAGCAGTGCCAATAAGATCATTCATTCTACCAATCAGCGTAAGATGCTTGTTATGGTTGTTGTTCATCGATTGAGACATTCAGCTGCCGTTTTCATTGTATTCGATCGAATAACGTTAGAAGGACAGATTGTTCGTTACCTGTAGTCTGATGAAATCAAGAATCAGATGACCTGGAGAGGAATTAACTGTAGTGAAAAATGTCAACATTTCATTGATGAGCCATAAAGAAAACATCAGAACGAAAGACCTGGTAATTGGAAAAATGGAACATATGTAAAAAATAGAGGGGAAAAATGCTTCCAGTTGTCAAGTTTCCAAAAGAAGGTCTCAGAGAATACGAATGATGAGATGAGAATCCCACAATCTGCCACAGTTATAACTGACAAGATAACAAGTAGGTGAGAAAATCCAATGCAGCACAAATACAAACATCCTCCATATGTGTGAGTTAGGAGGGAGGGGGAAAGAAAAGCCCGATAATCAACCACTCAATCACAGAAGATTAGCAGACATTCAAGAAATCCACGAAGAATTACATCTTAATAGTTCCGGGTGATGATGATTTCCCAATCATAAATTGAAGTATGACTGATTCAAAGTCCAGACAGCCGGAAGAAAAAAATGCCAGACAGCTTTAAAAAAGAAGTATCGAAAGAAGATGTGCGTTGGTGGTATAGCGGTTAGGACGCTCGCCGACCATGTACATGGTCCGGGGTTCGATCCCCGGCCACCGACGCACTCCTTTACCTCGCTGAGCCAGAAATGATCTTTGGTAAAGAGGAAAGGTTGGGCATGAGGCTAGCAATCCCATCCTGTAAAATAAACACTGCTAGTGAAACTTCAAGCTACTAGCCTGAAGCCACTCTATGTTCGACTGGGGAACGTGAAAGAAAACAAAAATCGAAAGAAGAAGATGGAAAGTATTTCTCTTAATTAAGATAAGCCAATGAGGATGTTCCAACTTCAGCACGTAGTATATCAAGACTGTCAATGTTGTTGAACATTGTTGAATGAGCAACACATGGATTTTTATTCGGACTGGTCCCTATTAGACGGGAAATGACAATCCCTAACCATACGCTGATTGGCAGAAGACTGGAGAAACATTATCAGAAGTCGGTGGCACAGCAGTTAGGACTCTCGCCGACCATGCACGCCGACGCACACCCGATATCAATGGTCAGCATGCAAAATCGAGCTACCGATATCATATGCTGAAAATTCCATGCTTGTACCAAAAATACGATTTGGAGTCAAGCTATAATCAAAAAAAATTATTCGATTGTGGTTTATGTTGACGATTATTCATAGACTCTGAGCTTTATAATCCTGTTGTTCTAAATGATTGTCGGTGGATAAAATTTAATAATCCCAGCGTCGCCAACTCGCGTTTCCTAATATTCTGTCATCTTGGTTACCGCGTATGGAAATTCTGCAATCTGTGATACCGAATCAAAATCTTTTCTGATCTGAACAATTTACAAAAAGGAGTATTCAAGAATTCTCAGCCAAATATATGTGTAAACAGAATCATCTCTCCGAGAGAAATTTTACAGAGAGTACAAAAAAATCGATAAACTGAAGACACAATGATGAACTGTTGTCATTCATTTTGATACGAATGTTGTGTGTTATGCAATTTCAAAAAAAATGAGAAACACAGACAGGCGGATGACAACATATACATCTTGGAAGATGTATGGAAGAGAAATTTGAAGCTGTTTATCGATTTCTATTCAAATTTTCACATCTGATTGTTAAAAAAGTGAATTAATCGATTTGAGAGAAAATCAATAACACGATCGATATAAAAAATAAATACTGAGAATCAGTAGACAGTAAATGACATAATCAAAATTGTTATTTCACCATTGAAGCAGGATTAGACGTTTCTTTTTGAAGTCATCATGAAATATAAGTGAAACCCAATAATCTCCTAAGATTATCACCAGGGGACAAAGTCACCTGAGTAAACGCGAGAAAAAATCGAATAATCGAATGATGTCAATTCAGAATATCAGCCATGTCATGATCAACTCTTTATAATCTCTCTTATCTAATTCAGCTATAATGTAACCGTTAGACACTAAACTCTAGTAACGTATTTGTGCACACTGAAACTTAAGTTGTACGGTCACTGTTTCACTTGAGATCCAAGCAGCTGACACAACTGACAGTCATAGAATACTCGTTGAACTGCTAAACTTCCCGTAGCAAGATGAGACATACACTGTCAAGATGGACAGCAGTTTTCTGTATACTGTTCTTTATGTATAAGCCGGCGTCTAGACATTCGACCTTAACCGGGGGTCAAATGCTGTGTTATTGAATTTCCATTTTAGACGTTATTGACTTGTTAAAACACTTAAACTTCTAAGTTATTGATCATGTTAATTGATTATATTTTCTATTTCGGTCATTTGCCTTTCTTTCTGGAGAAATAAATATTGCCTCCTCTGACTGTCTTCTTTCACGTTTCATTGTAAGACTAGTGTTCAAGTGATCAGTCTTATATTGTCCCGTATTAAAGTATTGTGAATGAATGAAAGTTGTCTTCCTAGTCGGCGGTCAGTCGGTCAGGCAGTCAGTTACCAGAAATGATGATGCATAGACAGTATCCTAAAGTAATCGATCTCTATCTCCCTCTTCTTCTCCTTCTTTGTTCACTGAGAAGAGTCACAGTGCAGATTTATTCATTTCAAAGCATGTTGACAACTGTAGACGTCAAGTGGACCAGAAGTATTTGGGCACTGAGTCAGTGGCGCAGCGGTAGAATGCTCTCCGATCACGCCTCATGTAGTCCGGGGTTCAAATCCCTGCCACCGACGCACTCCTCTACCTTGCTAAGCCAGTAATAAAACTGGTAAAGAGAGAAGGTAAAAATAAACACCACTGATATCGAAACCTCAAGCCTCTAGCTTGAAGGTGCCCCATGTTCCACTGGGAACGTAAAGGAATAAAAAATGGAGATGTATGAAATGAGCAACAACTCCCAGAAGTTTCACGCATTAGATTCATCAACAAATTAAGGATATTAAATAGAGATAACTAGATTCTGTGACTGAATATTGACAAGCAAGTCTTGAAATTAATCGATTAGTGAGTGACACCATGGATTATCGGTAAACGACACTAGGATAAATCACATAACAATATTTTCTCAGTTCCTATCTTCATTTTAATACTGGCATGTGTATTCTACATCGTGTCAATGCACACCTCTCACATCTTATTCACTACTCATTTTCGTTCAACGTTCCCACTGAAAATTAGGACTATCTAGC